TCCCCTGAGTTACTTAGCAATGCATCGTAATCAGAGAATCGTAGGTTGCTAAGGCACTCTCTATTGACTCTTATCCCTAACTCTTCTCGTTCTAGGCCCCTGAAAACCTCGTCTAAGCACGTGGTAAATAGTATTGGGGAGATTGTATCCCCTTTTCTTACACCCTCCTTGATTGGTATTCTGTCGCTTCTTTATGGTGGTTGTTGACACTCTGGGGACTTCGTGCAAGATGTTTATATACGCTTCGTCGACGCTCTGATTCTGCAGTGTCTGCATGACTACTAATGTTTCTACGGAATCAAATGCCTTCTCGTAAATAATGCTAGCTATGTAGAGTGATTAGCTGTAATTTGAGCATTTCTCTATAACTGATTGATTGTACGAATGTGGTAGATTATTAGGTAGCCTGTTCAAAATCCTTTGTAACCTTTGTAAATAACTTGTAACGACGGAGAGAAATCTGATCAGCCTGTGATTCTTCAAGTTATAGTCATCTTCTTTTTTATGTATTAAAAATTTTAGCATTCTTCTAAGATTCTAGTACCCTCTCCGTTAGTGAAAAACTAGCCACCCTGTTTACGTAGTGTTTACCGACGGATGAAATATATGTGAACCTAAATATAATCTTATAACCCTTGACACTGCTGAAGCGAGTACTCTCAATTCTGTTTGAAAATCTTCAGATAATCATTTAGTTGCTGCCTGTAGACTTCATGCTTAAAAAACTTTGATACTATATGGTGTACTCAAGAACCTCAGGCTAACTGAATTTCCTGAAACTAGCTTACGCTATGCGCTGCCAAAATAGAATTCACTCCAGGTGAGACTTAAGAAGAACAGTTAACAGTAGCTTATCATTTGCATCCATGCGTATATATGCTCATGGTAACCTCGATTGTATGAATTCAGATCTTTTATTGCATTATCAGTCACAACCTTGCTAACTAATATTGACAAAATTTGATGTCTGTTAAGCAAGTTCTCTCAGTATTTTTCAAATGCAGGAATTGCCACTCAAAACAACTTTACACTTTTCAAAGGCGCTGTTTTACGATTCAAGCGTTCAGGAGGAGCATCGTCCAAAGTTGTATGGGCAGAACACACGCCTTCGCCAAGCTTGCGCTTCGTGAAAGCTTCCATAATTTCTCTTTGCCCCGTTTCTTTAGATCACGATACAACAGTGGTGTTGTCAAGCAGACAGACATCTGTGCTAGCGTGCCATCAATAGATGTCACATACGATAAAAAATTTTTTACATGGAAAATTTAGAAAGTTTACAAGGCCAGAATTGAGGATAAGACGCAGATGGTTGCTCTCCTGTCGAGTGCTTTGTGCAGGTTCACACTTCCCTTCTTTCTTTCGCCTTGTATATATGTGCCAGGTTTTCATCAAATAAACAGTTCTTATTTCGCACTTGACCCGGACTTTACATTTGCTTTTAGTGTGTGTTTCTTTGTATTAAAACAGCACGTCTCAAGGGTCAACCATGTAAAACCAATCGCAGCCGATGCTCTGGCAATTCGAGTTGGCATTTTATTTCTTCCTTCGACATTTTTATTTCTTCCTGCCATTTGCATCGTCTTGACGCCTTCAAATACAATATTTTACGTAGTTTGATTGTTCTCGGGTTGCTAGAAATTTATCTTTTTAATATCGGTGAAATGGCTCCACCAGTGATTACCTTTTCATGTAAGCTATTGTGCTCCTCTTTGTTCTTTACACAAACGTACGTGCAGACGTATATGATTTATCTTTCATGAAACCCCCTCCCCTTCAAATTTTTTTTCTTCTATCGATCAGATTTTTCTCTGGCACCAATCTCCCGATGTCGCGGCATCTGTCATGTTGCGTAGGTTTTGCATTCCTTTTTTTACTTTGCTTTTGCAATCTAATTCATGGGCTGTCACTCGGTTCAAGCCATTGTTATTTATCTGCCCGCAGTGGTTCTTCTAGGCCTGAAACGATTCAGCTGGAAGTCTCCTCCCGTTGCCAGACAAGCGGTGAGCAAAAAAAAGGTGGTTCTTTATGACAGAAGAGAAATATTTTCAATGGAAGCGTGTCGTGGCTTAGTCGGAACGCACATAAACGCTTACTGTGACTGCGCACCAAATGCGCAGTCGGACATGCACCGTCTGCCTCTCGACCCTGTCATGGACTTTCATTTCCACACCTGCATTGGCTCGCACTTTCCCGAAAAGAAACCTTCGTGACAATGAACCTCCAGTATACCATGGAATCACTTTGATTCTTTAGAGCATTTCCTAGATATTTTGGTCTATGGTATATTTCCAAATTCACTACGTGTTTTTATGTTGTACAGTGAACTGTGGAAAGGATCCTGTGCCGGCGAAAATAATTGACTCTCGCAGAATATATATGACATGAGAAACTGTTGAATCAGACAGCTTGTGCTGGTAGCATAAGTAGTGGTGGGAAAACTGTTACGCAGACACTCAAACATCGAATGCATTTGAGTCGGCTTTTCCCGACATAATGTGTGTCATTGTCATTGTCATTATTGTGTGTCATTAGTTCCCAGTCAACACTGGGTTCTCCCTGGCCGCTCATCTACCGCATATTCTGCTAGTTTTATGATGCAAACCCCCCCCCCCCCCTATTTCTCGGAGAGAACAGGTTGACTTAGTCTCCTGAGACCTGAACAAGGCTTTTGGCGTAGTTAGCCACTCAGTGACGCTGGTTGATTTTGCAAACTTTGATGTGGACTCTTCAGTTGGGCATCTACTGGCGAAGCTATCTGTGTTAAGTGGCCGCAAATGGCTGAACGCCTTTTTGCACCAAGTTACTATAGTGAGGTCCCTCAAGAGTCGGTATTAGGCTCACCCTTATTTTTTGTGTCAAAAATCTTTCTTTTGCATATTGTTATTCTTGTTCTCTCTTATATTCCGATGAAATCAAGATGTTTAATGAAATTTATTCAGTTAACGACTGTCGCCTGCTGCAGTCAGACTTAGGTTCTTTCTCCGAATTTTGCGACAACAATAACCGATACCCGACTACCTGAAATACCAAATTCATCAATATATATCACAAAACAACCATCGTGTGTTTTTCATGCTCTGTTAATACCACGTTCTTATCTAAAGCTTATATGTTCAGTAATTCTGGTGCTATTGGTGTTCAGTTTGAGAGCATGCTAACTTTTTCTACTCACACTAAACGTGCTGCCTTGCGTGGCCTTCGTTTTTTCGGCTGTGTTTGCAGAATCTCACGATAAACAGGTTCTCCTACTCTCTTCTACATGTCGTACACCGCAATATGTCTTTCTCAACTTGAATATGCATCTGTGATCTGGAATATCATAGCTAAATTAGGTAGTACCGCCATTGTGCGAGTCAAGAGGAAATTCATATGCATCGAAAACAATCGTCTCGCTGAAAATGACTCTGGATCTGGTTTTAACACTGCCAGATTGTTACCAATGCCATCACTTCGCTGTCAGCTACATCGCGTTGACCTGGTGTTTTTAAAAGCATGGTGTGATGTCCTGCCCTTTACTTCTCAGATGTATGAATTTTGAATTTCGTGTAAGTTAACAAGAGAGAATTGAACATTTCATGTACCTGCAAACTTCATCCAACACTCCAGTGCTCGTAATATACAGTCTCTATATAGCTAGCTTTCTTGATCTGGATGCTTTTCATAGTCCACAGTCAATATCTTTATCTGAGTCTTGCTCTGTCATAACACAGTTTTTCACAAAGTACATATTCTTCCAGTTTCCGTCTTTCAGAAAGCCTTCCGCATAGTCGTGTAGATATCCCATTTTTTCACTCCCATTCCTGTATTTTTATTCTTCCCATTTTGCGCTGATCTCTTTTTGTCTGCGCGTATTTGCTTCTTTTATTTGATATCTTTATTTGAAGTCTGCCTTTAATGCATTGCTTATATTTAATGTTTTATTTTTACGTGCATCTGCCGAAATATCTTATGTCTGTTCCTGGCCACGTTAAAATGATGATTGCTTGCTTGATTGATGGTGCTAATACTTGATATTGATTGTAAGACACGCTGTGGAAGAGAGGTGGTAGGGAAGGAGGAGGAGAAGTGTTGCCAACTTAAGGGCGCGACACTCCACTATACTCCTTCTGAAAAGAAGAAACAGAGGTTATGCACAGATGCGAGGAGTGTAGTAAATTGCCAATAGTACTGTTTACGCAAATTTTACCTTTAGAGGTCCCAATTATTCATGTCTACACGCGGAAGAAGATGCGAAAGAAATATTATTATGCTGTTCATGACACTACGATCAGGGACACGAGCTACTGCGATATGTAAAGGCACTGAAGCGTTGTGCTTTCAGTGTCAGAAAAATGCTAGGCCCCACAACATAGTGTGCCTTGCTAAAATGTGCACTATTGAGGGTGAGTGAAATTCCAGAAATGAGTGGTTCACTAAAGCAAATAAAGTGGAAACATAAGGGCTGATTATATGAACACTATTTGACCTACGATGTCGCGTTATGTGCAACTTCATTTGCACACGTGTCATCTTTCCGTAAGACTGGAGTTTGCTCATTTTCAGTGGCGCTATTTAATTAACTTTTGGTGTCATTGTAATTAAATACGAAGCGTATATATGCGAAATTGATGGCTACATGATTGTACTGTTTTTTGTCTTGTTGTTCTTGGAGCTATGTGAATACAATATTAGGAACCCAGTCTAGCTCCTCTTTCGCGCGAATTTCTTTGTTTTTTCTGATTTTAGAATATCCCTATTATTGGTGAAAAAGACTAGCCACTACCATAATAAAGCACGAACATGTCTTATAGAATATATAAAAAACGAAGCAAAGGTGCATGAAAATAAGGAATAACATATAAAAACAGGGATAAGCTGCAGGACTCATTTGTTTTGTTTACGAGCACGGCAGTGGTTTTATTGACTTAGGTTTATTCCTGCACGCGAACTCTCGCTAAGGCTTTACATGCTCAACAAGTCATTAGTACATCATATTTCAATGCTGCTTAAATTCTTCACAGCTATCCTCCGACTTCGAGAAGTGCTGCGCTTGTCCCCAACCGGTGATGTCACCTTTCGACTACGGCAGTGCGCTCCCGGTGAAGAGCTACGCAAGGTGTTTCGTGAAGTGGGACGAAGAGGCGAATCAAACATCCTGTTGGACGCGCCGACGCATCGCGTCAAAGAATACTTAAAGCAGGTGAGCTGGATCAACGTCTATTATTTTTTTTCACTGCGCAGCTGTTCATGTCACACCTTCCCGAGTTCTTCGTGTCGTGTTGTCCGTATGCAAAAACACTCAGTGACCTCCAGGAATCGGTCATAGGACAAATGAATTAAAACGGTAAATGTGAGTCAGTATACGCATTCTTTCAAGTCGATCTAGTGGAGGCATTGCTTTAACGTGGAGATTGTTACGACTCCACAAACAATGTGTTGCAGCTGAGAAGCATCATTACCTATACACCATAACGCCTAAATACCTAATATGACCTAAAGAGAAAGCAGCGAGTTGGAAGTGCTTTCTCTATACATTGTGAAGGAATGATGTGGTTAACTTTTGTTCAGAGGTGTCTTAGCGTTTTTTGTTTAATGTAATGCACTTTCCTAGCCTCATTAGTTCAGCCGTGTTAAAATTAGTGGAACTTTACAAAAGCTAGCATATCGAACCATCTTTGAAATTTAGATATGCCAACACTATACCTTGTTTTACTTGTATACCACTCTCCTCGAAATCATTACGCACGCACCTTTGGTATCTTAGCTGACTTTCAAGAGCTCTGGCCGATTTCAAAATTTATTGCTTGGTTTATTTTGACTATGCTCTTCAAAGCTCACATAGGCAGATGATTACTGTATTGTGAAATAGGTGTCGCGGATTTGTTCTCATCTGGGTAAACTGCTTTATGAGCAGCGTTTCGTTTTTCTTCTTTCATATTATTACAAACTCAGTGGCTTCCTCACTTCTAATTTGTCATCGGAACAGCTTTAAATGTTTTCTCTTTATATTGCATTTCTCACACAACATGTACAGTTTGCTCTCAATCAAAATCGTGCAAAATGGTGCCATTAGAGCTTAAAAATCACCTAAAAATATTGTGTTGCAAGAACGTGTCAGTTCGCTTATGACGCTAGTATCTAAACAACAACAACAACAACAACAACAACAAAAAAGTGGTTGCCCAAAGTTTCTTAGAAGCCACCTAAAAACATTGTGTCACAAGAAAGCGTCAGTTCGTTTATCACGCTAGTATCTAAATAATGATAATAATAATAATATTAATAATAATATTAATAATAATATTAACAACAAAGTGGTTGCCTAAAGTTTCTAAAGCAAAAAACGATGCGCACGCTTGACCTTCCTCCGCACTCAAACATTCCCACTTTTTTTTTGCTTTCGCGAGCACCGTTGAAGTTCATTGTAGTTCTGAATGGTTCTAACCAAGTTTTTTTTTTCTTTTCGTGATTTCTCATTCTATGACACGTGGATGCTTTCGCTCCGCTAACGGCCAATATTGGGCGGAGCCCGTAAGGCAGTCTGCCACCAAGGCACCGCCTACGATGGTGGCTGCCTTTTACGCAAGCGCACTTCAATAAAACGACTCTTCCCCGGAGGCCGATACTCTTGCGAGCGAGCTAAGCGGACATCCAAGTGCAGTAGTGTACGGGAGGCTTCCACTGCTACGCAATTTGTGTTGTGCTCCAGGCACGCGGAGAATGCATCGCATCGCAAACAACACCAGGCGACATAATTGCACTTTAGCCGACAGGGAGGCATCACCCAAACTGTCGACAGCACTCGGAGTTACAGCACACATTCGCGATTTGCTTGTGCCCTCCATATTGGGAATTGTGTTTGTACAGATAACTGGTTGCTACGGATTGCCGTGTATTCATAACGAAGATATTGTTAATGTGAGGTGATAAGACATATTTAAAGACTGTAGAATGTTCTAATATTTGGCCAGCACCTATTTGAGCAAACCCACAAGTTACCTTCTTTTCTTTTTTATTAAAAGTCGCAATCTGGATGCCTGAGATCTTCGCAGAACTGAAAATTGACTGAAAATTGCCTCTAAATAGCATTTAGCGGAGCTCAACAGAATTTATTTCTCACCTCAAGTGTCATTTACACTGTTCTGTTGTGAGAAATATCTTGGCGATGGTGTTTCGCTGCGAAAAAGTATTCAACAGAATAGTCATGGTTGTTTCAGTCATTACTGTTAGTTACAGTCATTGGCAATGATTGCAATCGTGACTACGTGCGTAATGATTAGTACAGAAAGGACACCAGTATTCATTACTGCTTCAATGTTGGCGCACTTTGAATATTTTTGCAACTGCTTCAACTTGTAGCATATCTGCTAACACAAGATTCCTTTATTTCTTTAAGTTCTGATATGTCTTTCGCCATGCAAAAAAATCTTTTTATGTTTGAGCTCCAATATATATTTTAGCCATGAAATGGTACAAGATAAAGATGGTGCAGGTCTACGCGCCTACATCGAGCCATGTTGAACATCTGGTTGAAAGCTTATACAAAGACGTAGAGTATGCAATTATTAAGTAAATACACAGTACACTATACTGATGAGTGACTTTAATGCCAAACTAGGCAAGAAACAGGCCGGACACTATGCCGTGGGGGAGTATACCATCGGCTCTAGAAATGTCAGAGAACAGTTATTAGTAGAGTGCACAGAACGCAATTATAAACGGATCATAATACCTTCTACAGAAAACGGACTAACCATAAGTGGACACGGCGGAGTCCAAATGGTAAATTTAAAAATGAACTGAACTTTAATTTCTGTGCACGGCTAGGCATTTTACAGGATGTAGAAGTAGTTCGCAAGAGACTATGCAATGACCATAGAATTACAAGATCTCAAATTCACCTGGAATAAAAAAAATCAAAGGCATAAAATGATACGCCAGAAGCCAAAAAAAAAGCTAGTGGTGAAAAAGTACAGGAATTCTGAATTTTCAGTCAGAATAGATTCGCAGCTCTAAACGAGGTGACCGACATTAGCGTTGACACAATAAATGATATTCTTCCTGCTATCATTAAACAATGTGGAACAGAAGTTGAACGTTCAGTCGCTAGACAAGACACTGGCAAACTATCCCAGGAGACCAAAAATCTTATTAAACGATGAGAAACCACAAGAACTTCGTATACAACTGACGAGATAGAGCTAGTAGAGCTTTCGAAGCTCATCAATAGGCGTAAGGTAGCTGACATCCAAAGGCAACCCATGATAGAATCGAGCACGCTGTAGAAAGCGGCAGAAGCCTAAAAGCTGCACAAACTTGAGAATAAGCAGAAATCGAACGTATGCATTAAGAGATGAAGAAGGCATTGTCATAACCAACATGAATAGGATAGTTGAGATGGCGGAGGAGTTCTACAGAGAGCTGTACAGAAGCCGAAATAAGCAGGGTTATATCGTAAAAAAGAATAACGGCTCAGAGAAATTTGACATCTGACCAGTAACGACAGGGGAAGAACCGAAGCCCCTGTAAAAATGCAAAAAGGCGAAGCCGCTGGCGAGAATAAGGCAACAACGAACCTGCTGAAAGATGGTGCTGAAGTGTGTTAGAACAACTAGCCACCTTATATATGAAGTGTCTCTTGATAAGGTACGAGAATCTTAAAAAAACGTCAAAATCATTCTAATATATAAAAAGGAGACGTCAAGGACTTCAAAAACTACAAGCTCATGAGCTTACTGTCTGTTCTTTGCAAGCTATTTACAAAAATATTGTCTAATATAGGTAAGTGATATTATTGTTCTATCAATCAAAGGAACAAGCAGAATTTTGTACTGTTTACTCCACAATAGACCATATCTCAATCAGGTAATATGGAAATGTGTGGAATAGAGCCAACCCATATACATAGCCTTCATAGATTACGAGAAGGTGTTTGACACTGTCGAGACATCAGCATTGAAGCACAAAATAATCAGGGCGTTGGTGAACCCTAGATAATGATACTGGACGAACTATACAGCGGATCCACTGCCGCCATAGTTCCCCATAAAGAAAGTGAATGAATTTCAATAAAGAAGTGTCTCTCCACTGCTATCACCCGCGTGTGTACAGGATGTTTTCAGGGTCCTAAATTGGGAAGAGATAGGGGTAAGAGTTAATGGAAAGTATCTTAGCAACCTTCGATTAGGTAATGAAATTGCTTTGATGAGTAAGTGAGATGATCAATTACAGCTTATGATTCGTGAACTGGACATGGGAAGCTGAAGTGTAGGTTGGAAAACTATAATGCATGAATTTAAAGTAGCGTGCAGCAGTCTCGGCAGAAAACAGCATTTTGCAATAGACAGGGAGAAGATCGAAGTTGTAAAGGAATATGTCTACTTAGAAAAGGTAGCAATCGCGGAGCCCGACCATGAGAGTGAAATAACCAGGAGAATAAAAATGGAGCGGATAACATTCGCAAGCATTCTCAAATCGTGATTGGTAATCTGCCACTAATCCTCATTAGGAAAGTATATAACAGCAGCATCATGCCGGACCTTACTTACGGAACAGAAAGCTGGAGGCTTACGAAGAGCGTTCGGCATAAATAGAGGACGGCGTAGGGAGCGATGGAGAGAAAAACGATAGATGTAACCTCAAAAGACAACAAGAGAGCAGAGTGGGTCAGGGAACAAGCCTAGGTTAACGATATCATACTCGAAATCAAGATGAAGAAATGGGCATGGGCTGTGCATGTAGCGCGTAGGCAGGATACCGTTGGTCATTAAGTGTAACTGACTAGATTCTCAGAGAAAGCAAATGCAAGACGAAAGAGAACGTTAGGTGGGCCAAGGATAATAAAAGTTTAAGCTCTAACGTGGCAGCAGAAAGCACAAGACCGGGTTCATTGGCGGATCATGGAAGAAGCCTTTGCCCTGCTGTGGGTGTAGTCAGGCTGATGATGATGATGATTAATATAACCGAAACAAACCTTAAAGCGAGGCATAGTGAGTACGCGCTGAGGATTACTGTGTAGAACAAGTTTTCTGTTGCATAATTGCGTAACTGTTCAGGAGCGTTACACCAGCATATGAACCAATATAATTTCAAAGCACACCATAGAAAACATTTCTCACCAGCAAGGTCTTCACTTAACATTTATCATACAATGATATCAATGAAAATGCCTATTTCAAGAGGTACATGGAAAACAATTACGCGCGAATAAAAGTATTTTTAAAATCGTATGAATAATGTAAAAGGCTATAGAGAGTATCAATGCCATACGGATGAGGAGTCTCATTTATTTCTTGGTAGTCGAAGTATTACCCTTATAGAAAATATTAGGGCACAATTGA